CATATCTAGGTTATTTCTCTTATGGGGGAAAAAGGTCTTTGGAGAGTATAGAAACAATTACAATCCCGCCAGACAGTAAAACACCTCCATTTCCTCCTTCACGTCTGCTCCCCCCCCCCAGTGTTTTACTTCAGGGAGGATTTGGCCTCAGAGGGAAAATGTGATAACACACCACAGAGCAATATGTGCCGGAGTCACATCCATGAAGCAATTTAATGGACTTTGCAGCCACCTTTAATACACTATCACCTTACATCTTTAAATGACTTTGAACACTTGTTGGTATTTATAAAAACTGTTTTGCCAGGGAGGGAATAGTTGAAATTAAGTTCTAAAGGAAATTTGATTGGACTTATTTAATCTGATACTGGCTGGCGAATAGTATGTGGGGAATCTAATTTTCTGCTCTTGCCAAATAATCTTTCACGGCTGCATTGTGGTATAGCTATTTTTTAATCATCTAAGCTGATGCATTATGTTGTCAGGAGCAAAAATACTATGTGGCTATCCTGCTGGAAATTATTTACTACTGGAAGTTCAGAAAATTCTTTTGAAGTTTACTCTGAATAACTTATTATATTTCACTACAGAAAGGCCAACACAGACTAATAATTTGAGGGCATGCTTCCAGCTCATCCCTCTCCACTTTTAATGCAATAATGCTATCCTGTGGTGACAATCATTTCTTAAAAGTTCAATAAAAAGCTAGAAAATGGCAAAAAATGTTGCTTGTAATTTCCCAGAACACCGAGTTGACATCTTAAAACATTTTGGGTTAAAAGACTTAAATGATTTATTCATTATCAACAACTGCAGATTAAGTTTTCATTTTCTGTCGATCAACTAATCAATTAACCAACTAACCGTTGAAATTTTACTTAAAACAAGAGGTTTATATCAAACTTAAATGGAAAATCCTCCTGATTGAGTCACAATATCATCACTGCAGGCAGCTCTTTGTATTTCCTACAGTGTTATACTCCATCCAAATCAATGTTTCTGAAAGCAGAGTTGCTTACTCAAAAACAAACACAAAAATAACTTTTCAGTGATGTGATTTATGATTAGTGATTTTCCACTCCTGCGTGCTCTAACACTTCCTGTTTTAGCGAAAACCCTGAAAGCGAATCAGTTCTGCATTATGAAGCCAGAGATAGCAGAGAATAGCATTCAGCAGGGTTTTCTCCAAATGAGGCAGTCAAATAAATTGCCAACGTGAGTTTATGATCAGGGTCACAGACATCCACCCACAACAGAAGGCACTTTTGCAATCTAATATCTGTCTGTAAATACCAAAATAATACTTCACCAACAGCAAGGAAAAGCAACAATATGGCTCCCATGTAGTTTGTTTAAATGAATCAAGGATTAGCAATCCAAATATTTTTTTTGAAGGAGATGCATCTTAATCAGAACTGATGTAGATATGTGGAAAAAAGAGCATGTGATGGAGACCAATTTGCTTGGCTGTGTGGTCAGCATGTCCATCCATGGACACATTCATTGTATGCCTATTGTCTTTTTTTCCCCCGCTGCTTTCATCTGACATTCGGTTTCATTCAGCCCAGCGTCCTCATCAAAGGTCGTGCTGCTCTTCCCCACAGCCAACGGGCATGTTTGATATTCCATCCTTTAAGCCGCATCAAGAAAGAGGGCACTTATAAACTTGAGCATGTGTGATTATCTCTGGAGTATCACGTCACAGACACAGTAAGAGACACAGAGAGGGGGTAAGAGAGGGTACAGAGGTTTTTAATGAACTTTGTTTGTTCTTTCCAATCTGGAAAATTTCCTCTTCATGTGTAAAAAACAAAACTAAAAACAAGCTGTTGTGTTTTTTCCCTGTAACCTCACCCTCTTATATTGAAAGTTATGTGTGCATTAGGATTTTAAATACAGACCCCATAAGCACAAAAATTGTAAGAGCCACAATGGTTATTCTTTTTATTTTTCTGGGCTGCTATAGACTTTTTGTATTCAATTTTAAATCACATGCTCAATACAGAGATAAATTCCCTGTAAAAGCTTGAACCACTGTGCCATCTTCTGGTACAACATAGCTTTTGTTTGTCATGTCACATTCTCAGTGTGAAGTGAGCATATGCTGCCCCCTTTTGGTGATTAATATAAAGTGCACACTTGCAAATATTCACTGTTGCATAATACATAAGTTGCTATATTTAATTGTTTTATAATTTTATTGTTAGATTTTGCGGAAGGCTTTTTTTCATGTCATCACTTCTGAGGTTTGTGTTTGATGGTGCCTTCAGGTCGGCACACCGTCTCACAGCCCTCAAAAGACAGATAAGGCTCCGTGGCAAGAGGCTTGCTTGACTTATCCGTGTGCAAACATTCAGAGATTAAATGGACCAAGCTCATGATGGTCATCAGGAGCATAAGGAACCCTAGGATAAGAGAGGACAGGGTAAACTTTCACAATGAATTTGATGAACATCTCATTGCTAAATGTGCATATGCACTCTAAGGTGACATCTTACCACAATAGACTGTGTTTGCAGCCAGGTCATGGACACGGTAGCTTCGGGTGAACATTGCACCCAGGCACAGAATTAGAATAGAGTAAACACTGAATGTGTAGCGCAAGTACTTGTTTAACAGGAAGCTCTGTAGGATGAACCTAAGGGGAATCAAAATGTTCAATCACTTCTTTAAAATAAAATCTTTCCATAAGTTTGCTTTACAAACAAAAGCCAAAAGCAAATATTAGGCATTTCTTTAAAGCTCCAGTATTTTTGTCCTTACCAGGTTATAGTAAACAAGAAAACTATGGTGAGGACAATGGTGCTGATTAGTGGGTCCGGCACACCAGCTTTGTACTTGAAGACAATGCCTAGACCCACCACAGCATTCAAGAGAGCCCACCAGGCAAACACTGCCAAGCCATTCTGGGTCTGCCACAAATGACAAAGCATATACATATACATGGAGTTTAAATTCACACAACTGATGGTGGCAAAATGTTAAATTTGACTAAGCGGCCTCACCAGGTAACGTGTCCACGAGATCACACTAGAGTTGTTAATGGCTAACCATGCTTTGTGCTTGTCGAGATTGGAGTAGGACATGTAGAGCATGTAGAAGCTGAGGACTGGTAGAATCCAACTCAGTGTGACGGCTGCAAGTATATCACTGTAGAGAGCAACAGCAGCTTTGATTGCTTGTGCACACATATTTCTTTGTGAGTGTAAATGTTACTGTAGTTGTGTCTACCCTAGTATGAGAAAATTGACTTACTGTCTGTCCCACAGAGACATGCTGCACATTCTTGCAATGTTAATCATGGTCCACATCAGATAAAATACTGGAGGGTGGATTTCCGGATTGCAAGACACAGGACCAAGGACATTTCTACAGATGGATCAATAACAGTCATGCAAATTTTATTAAATCAAGCTCAATTGTTAATACTATTTATGGTTCACCATATTCCATTCAATGTATTTACATTCTGTTATTACCTTTCTATAAAGTAGTTTTAATCATTAGTGGCATTTTATTCTGGCATTGTATAAAGCCTTAAAGACACCATACCCGCTACCTTTTTAAAAGGTTGACCACTGCATGTAGGAGCCAAGCGTTAGACCAAAAGTCTATCATAATGCAGTAACTTCCTGACCACCAGTCCATAGTCACCTCCAGGGGGAAGGTCTCAGACACATTCCTGGATGAAGTCTGAAACAGAGCTGAATGACAAGAAAAAATATCACTGATTCTTAATTAGGATATATGAGAAATTTCCAGACAGGTAGCTGGGACATTAATAAGATCCGCTTAAAATATATACTCTCCTAAAGACACTGTAATAAAACATCCAATTTTTATGTTATAGACTATCAGTCTAGATTGTAAGGTATGTATGTGTGTGTGTGAGTGTTTTCATATGGCAAGTTAGTTTCATTGCCCTCCATCCATGTCAATAGCTATCAAAAATGACATCAAAGGACTGTCAGGGTAAAGGTCTTTCAGTAAGAAGTGCACAGTAAAACGTAAAGTCCCTGAAGATATATCTTCCAATATTAAGTATTCCTCTTTCACATTAAATATCCATAACTAAATATGCTACAATCAAAGTTTAAAGAAAAATCTTTTTTTCTTAATCATAAGTTAAACACTAAAATATATCATCGCCCTGACTGCTGACTGAAGTATGTGACACCGCCATTTACTAATAACACCTCACTATGGGCACAAGACCATCTTATTTACAACATCAAATTCTCCAAATTTCAAGCTCTGAATGCTACCCTCTGGTTTCGATTACATGACTGAAATACACAGTAGGTGTAAAGTCACTCACCATTGGGCACGCAGCTGTCCTTTGCCAGAATGAAGAAGATTTCTGAGATCGTCTGAGTAATGACAGCAAGGCCAATGCTCCCAGCATGTACCACTATATGGTCACTGTTTCTCTCTAAGAGAGAAGACATCTGGAACCTCACCATAGTGCCTAACTACAGCTCAGAACACTGCGAGGCACAATATTTGTCACCACAATCTGATATTTTGGACTTTGGATCGCTGCATGCACTTTACAGTTTTATGGTATCACTTTGATTGGAGCTGTTAATCCCTGTAATTATGATACTGTAAGGGGCGTTTATGTGTGTGTGTGTGTGTCAGAAAGATAAAGAGATAAAGCACTGGTACTGTGTCTTTTTTTCTGTCCAACAGGCAGATGCTGACATTAGGACACTCACCTGATACAGTTATAGACATCAGTTTTTTACTTGGTATAGTTACTTATCACAGGGATATGTTTGTGTGACTTATTGATTAGTTAACTTATTATTCAAGCAAAGTTTCCAGTTTCTCTAATATGAGGATTTTCTGTTCTCTCTGTTTTTTTTTTTTTTTT